AGGTGTAAGAGTTTTGGGCTTCGTTTGATCCTTACATACAGTAATCATATAATATAAATGTATTCTTTAATCTCAGAAAATTCTATATTAGCTTCTAAACAAAGCAAACTACAGAATAATTACCTTCATACCAAATATTTTCAATTTGAAACGCACGAGCATTTTGAAAAAAATTCATAAATTCGCACTTAAGTTTATCTCTGTTTTAATTTATGCATGAGACTACAAATTCTATGATACAATCTCGACCAAATTAAAAAGGAACCGTTCTCGCGTCTGCGAATTTTGTGAAAAAGAAATTTTAATGTCTTTAGTTCAGTCAGGCAAGATTGCTAATAGATCTAAGGTCACATCGAGCAGCTTCGATAAAAAATTAAAAAAAAACTTATTTAATGATTTTTGACGTCTAAAAGAAAGTTGAAACTTTAAAATATTCTGTTAGTCCAGGAGAATAAACAAATTCCAATTATTTTTAACAGATAGAAAACAAGCGACTAACCGTAAGTGAAAATGTTTTAACTGGTGTGAAATTATTTATGTTTTAATCAGAGGCAATACTCAAAAAAAAAACTGTTTCTTGAACGGTATGAAAACTAAATTATTTGAACGGGGTTAACATCTTAGTCATATGGCCTCATCGCGTGTAGGGATGTGCAGGCTGTGAAATGGATAGGAGCTCGGAACTAGAAATCAGGGGGCCGAGTTAAAACTACAGGCGGGATCGTTACATTCACAAATATGCTTATGAAAGCAATGAATCTATAGTAATTTTCCAAACGTAGTTTGTATGTGGCACACGGCCGAAAGTAAGGGGCACCCAGTGAGGATAGAACACACTATTCAACCGTAATTGTTCTAGCGAGACAAGCTTGCTAACCATTACACCACCTCGAGGTGCCCAAGCAATGAATCTATATCCACCAACTATATGGTAAATGATAACACTTGTAACGGGAAAATCATTGTTATTCACCAAAAGATTGCTAATCCATTCTCTCTCGAAAAAAAATCTTAGAATCAATAGCCCACAGAAGGTTGATAAACCGTAAAAAACAAATCAATCAATAAACTATACGTGGGTGAAGTGAGTTGGATACTCATTGGGTGCCCAGTACCGCGGTTTTTTTTAGTCTAAAGTAAAAATTGTAAATGTCGAAATGATTGTATCACTTGCATAACATTGAGGATATATTTCTTAGCATAAATACAATATCTATAGCAGGGGTGACCAAACAGTGGCTCGAGAGCCACATGAGGCTATGTGAAATTTTAATATATGGTTTGAGAAAATATGTTGGCTGAGCGCCATTTTCAATTACAGTTAATATAAAAGATAAATAAGAAAAATGTCACACTTTATAATTATTTACTGGGTATGAATTGAAACCCTATTAGATTAAAACCTAAGTTTAATGATCATGGTTAGTAAAAAATATTTAAGAAGTTAAATCTTAATTTTAATGCTAGGTCTGAGTTGAGGCATTGTGCTTTAGTGCCGAGGGAAGGAATGGTAGGAGGCATAAATGTGTACTTTATAATAAACGAAACGAATATAAATGAACAGTTCAAAAAACTGCATATCCCTATCTATAAAAGGCAGGATGTGTGTCTGTAACGAATGCACGGCTGCAATTTTCGAAGGATTTGTACCAAAATTTACATGCACATGCTCCAAGTTAGCGGGAAGCCCAAGACTGTCTTGCATTCCCCAACTCTTATCAATAGTGGAAATAATCGATTTTTTCATGCTTCTACGGCAGTTTTCATGTAGTTTGCGGCCATTTTCTACTGGCCAGAGTGAGAGCCTATAGCTGGCTGCCACGAACAGGCAGAAAGATTCTATTGGCCAGCGTGAGAGCAAACAGCTGAATGACACAAATGTTAACTGGCATGCAAAAAACAATTGATAGCTGCATTCGTCACAAGTGGGGAAAAATTTAAATCTCCATGGCACTTTACTCCAATTGGTTCATTCGCTTGCTTAAACTCAACGTTGATTCTGATTCCGCAGAACTGGGTTGGGTCTGAAAATTTTTTGTTGTTAGCATTCTTTTTTCATTCGGTTTTTCCAGTTACGAGTCCTTTTTTTAAAGCTGATCGTTTTGTGTTCATTTTGTTTAGTTCTTTTTTCGTAACAGATTTAATGTTTAGTATAGAGCTTAGAAAAAAAATCGCAGTGTGAGATAGGCAAGAAGTAATGCATGTAGAAACATCAGCACGGCAAAGGGCACTCCTTTAAAGGCAAGGAAGGGCAAAAAATATTTTTAGTCAAGTGGTAGCGATTGTTGTATGATTCGTCCGATTTTTGAATCAAGCGCGGGAAACGCTGGGCCTTGCTGCTAGTACTGTATATTATTGCATCCGTGCTTAATATTTATATAAACATTTTGTAACAAAAACCTGTGTAAATTTTGCCCAAGACTTTCGGTTTTCAAACATCTGAACTTATATGGCTCTTACATTAAGCAAATTCGGCCACTCCTGATGTATAGTAACAGCAATCGCATTAAAATAGTCGATGTACTGCAAATTTGATTTCTAAATAAAAATTGAAATAAAGTACTAAGTATTAAATCTCAAGAGTGACAGTAAATAAACTGTTACTCATCTGTTAAATAATAGTGCTGACTCAAGTAATAACAAAACCTGACACTGTCGAAAATACATGAAAGTAGAGTTGTAAAACATAAATCATTTTACGTTATGTTCACGTCTTTTGAGGAGCTTTAAAATCCGCATAACTCATTTTTGCCAGTAATTGTTAAAAAAAATAAATCCATCTACGTCATTATTCGTTTGGAATTACATGACAGGGTATAAAACCAAAGATTATGTTGCAAATTAAACGCCTGGCATGATATCTGTGGTAAGAGCGGGTATCAATCATATCTCGACTCCTTCTAATTCCACTCGAAAGAAACAAATTGAAGAGACCGTTACATATCCCATTTCAAATCATTAAAGTAAGATATCGAGAATGAAATGTTTTATGATTCCTCATATATACACACTATATATATATATATATATATATATATATATAGTGTGTGTGTTTGTGTCTGTATACCTGAGTACAGAACAAGTTCAAATAAAGGAGGAAAGATTGTGTTTTACTAATTATTAAAATGGATATAGCCTTCCTGTTTTGAAATCCGGCATTAGGATTCGTGATAGGTTAGAGTTTGTGGTTTGAAGACATCTGATTTGCATCAGTGGAAATTACGTAATTATCCCAGCAATCAAGCAGGCAGAGAGAGAAAAGAAAAAAAATAATGATTAATCATTAATGATGTGTTTAATCATTATATATATATATATATATATATACACACACACAGATGCTGTCGTATAATTGCAAAATATTTTAATATAAATAAAACAAAGATTTTTAATAGAAAAATGGTGCATTTAAAATAATATTAATTAAAACCGTACTCATTGTCAAGGTCAGTATGTATGCTTCCTCGAAAGCAACTGTCTGTCCCGTATTAGATAGTTTTTGTAAATTTGGACCATCATGATATCAACCTTCATCGAATTATTCTTAAATAGCCTCGTCAGATAGCGACTTTTATATGATTGCCATGAATTATGCCAAACTTGATCTGAAATCTCTAAACTTTCAGCAGTATACAACCACTTTTTTCATTTCATTTGTTTAAAACATTTTAAAATGGCTTCGAGCGAATAATGCCTGTAGGTCTCCGCAAGGACCACACTACTTCGAACTTTATCAACCGGCATTACCGAATCACAAAGATCTGCACCATTATAACAGAAACCACAATACTTCCGGAGTTTCAACAGCTGCAACAACTAAAATGAATATCACAAATAAAATAATGACATAAACAATATGTTGACGTTTCAATTTACTTCAAACAAAAGGTTAAGAAAGAACACCTCGTCAGTACTGGAAAGAAGGGACAACTGTTAAGAAAATTGTTTTAATAGAAAGTTTGTATAAATATCAATACCAATGCCGAATATTTCCTTATAAGAAAACCGCTAATATGACCATTACTAATTTGGCAGTCTTGAATCGTTCGATGTCGCAAATGTAATAGTCCATTTGATTCAAATCTAGAGAGAGACAAGTGACTACAGGATCGTGAAAACTTCTGAACCCTGTCTGCGAGACACGCGTATCAGAAACACGAATGGCCATCACTCGATCCACTCATTCCCAAATCCTATCTAATACCTTAATATTATACCATATAATATTATCCCTGCAGGGAAAATTTTGCTGGCATCGCATTGCTATCAAACACCAGGATCATCCCAGAAGAGCATGGTTGCCTCCCTGTTTTCGTTGCTGAGCTACAGGTCCTTTCACTTCCTCTCCTGGTCATAGCAGTTCCCGTGGCTGATTGGAAGCTGCCACGTTAATGTTCTCTATATGCCTTTGAGGGAAAGGAATGTTTTCATGTGTCGCGTAACGTCAAGTTACGTCGTCTTTTATTAATGTCTCGCTAAATACGCATTTTGAAAGTTCTGACGCACGCGGACGAAGTTCAAAGAAAAAAAATGATAATTCGAAAGCTGTAAATTCGACCCGCCTACAAAAATCACCTAGGTCAGAACCGGAATTTAACCCAGAAATATCCAGAAGATGTTACAACTCTATAGTTAAAGTTATGTGCAATGAGCTACATTCAGGTGCTTCCCACGTAGTCATAAACACACAGTGGTTGAATTTTTTTTTTATACGCAAAGAGTGCCTAATATCGGATAAAGCGTTTGTTATCAGAGACAGTGTGAACATAAAAACTCTACCTTGCATGATGACATTCAGTTTCACGCTTCATTCGACCGTCACAAAGAATTATTGATTTCCAGAACCAGCACACACAAACTCTTTCTTTCTTTATCACTTTTCTCTTTCTTTTTCTCTCTCTCTCTCTCTCTCTTTCTATTTCTTTTTTCTTCTGTCTCTCTTCTCCGTTTTTTCTTTCTTTTATCCTTATCTGTTTGTCTTCATCTATGTATTTCTCGTTATGTATTTCTCTTTATCTTTTTCTCTTTCTTTATCTATATGTCTTTCTCCTCTCTCTCTCTCATTTCCCTTTCTCCTCTCTCTCTCTCTCATTCTGTCCCTTCTTCTCTCTTTCCTCTTTCTTTCTCTTCCCTCTCTTTCTCTTTCCCCCTCTCTCTCTCTCTCATTTCCCCTCTCTTTCTCTCTCTCTCTCTCATTTCCCTTCTCCTCTCTCTTTCTCTCATTTTCCCTTTCCCTCTTTCTCTCTTTTTCCCTTTCTCCTCTTCTCTCTCTCTTTCCTTTCCGTTTTTCTTTCTTTCTCTTTATCCTCATTTCTCCTTTGTCTTCATCTATGTCTCTCTCTCTCATTTCCCTTTCTCGTTATCTCTCTTTCTCTTTCTCTTTATCTTTTTCTCCTTTTCTCTTTATCTATATGTTTCTCCTCTTTCTCTCTCTCTCTCATTTCCCTTTCTCCTCTTTCTCTCTCTCTCTCATTTCCCTTTCTCCTCTTTCTCTCTCTCTCTTTTCCCTTTCTCCTCTCTCTCTCTCTCTCTCTCTCTCTCCTTTTTGTCTTTCTGCACTCTCTCTCTCTCTCTCTCTCTGACTTTTGTCTTTCTGCACTCTCTTTCCTCTCTTTTCACTTTCTTTCTCTGTCAAATTAATATATATAATCATAGAACTTAAATAAACTCAACTGTCATCATTGAATCCTCATCACCGAATCTTAACAAAGACCTGAGAGCCGAGTCTGTCCTATCATTTAACGCATAGAGGAGAACAGATCCCATTTCCCCCAAAGGTATTTGTGCGAAAATGAACGCACATATGCATAAACACACACACACTCAATGGTGAAATTGATCGCGGCTCGGATTGAGTGTATCAATTCATGCATTTATATGGGATGTCACTGCTCAAATTATCTTACTTAATATTTGATTCTACTTAGAAAAATAGATTTTAAATCAAAAGTATGTATTGTACTTGAGTATATACACTTTAGTTTGTATCAGATCATCTCCTAAATGTTGTGTCTTTTCGGGACGTTAGTGATCATGGTTCTTCACAATTACCTATCTTTTGTAGTTTTTTCATAAATGTCATCTTTTTTTTTTTACCCCCCCCCCCACCTAAACCTTACTCTGTCATCCATATCCTTACGCTCGCTAGGTAGGTTATACTTTCTTTTCTTCTGTCTCGCTTGCCGTCAATATACCCTATGCGTATTATATTTTCCAGGGTCTCTTTCCTCATTATGTGTCATAGAGATTTCAACTCTCTTCACGATGTATAAGTGTCTTTTTTTATTCGCTTTTATCTAGAACTTCAGCATTGCTCACACGTTCGGTTGATGACATTCTCAGCATCTTTCTGCTGACACCGCATTAAATAAGTTAAAAGATAAATATGTTTCGTAGAAGGGCTTTTTAATACTTCGAAAAAGTATTTTCCTTCCTTTGAATCATCAAACAAGCCAAAAATACTTTTCTCAGTCAGATATTTAGATATTTTTTTAATAACGAGGAATGTCAATTTGTTGCCCGACTAAAATATTTTCATTAGTTATTCGAATCGTGTATTTTGTTTGGAATTGAATGAAATACAATATGAAAAGATAAGCAAGCAGTAATTTGCAACATAAACAGCTTCTGCCCGTGAACCACTGCCCTGTGGAACAGGCGCTCATGAGGATGCTTCCCTGATTTCTACAGTCTGAAGCTGCTCAAGTCTAGAGTTAACCGTTATCTTCCCCTCCTATCCATATAAACTACCCCTTAACGTAACACTCTACCTCGAGTATCACACAGTATTTGTACAGGGTGAAACTTAATGTAAAAAAAAAAAAATTATAGGAAATATCAAATTAGTTTCGCAATTCTAAATGAGCTTTTTCTTGGAATTGAATTTTTTTTTATCTCGGAAGTTTCAATGAAGGGTTTGGTATAAGAACTGGGGGATTTTTTTTTACTTTTTGAAAGGGGGTGTGCGATTACTATAGAACCGATAGAATTCTTTTATTTCTCTGAGATTGACCACTGATAATTACCACAAATGGACAATACGTAACACTCTCAAGTATAAGTCGAACTCCACGCGCATTTGCTATCTTAACCTAACAGTAACACTTGCTGAAGTACCATTGCGAAAATTGAAGACAGGGTTGTTTAAATTTCATTTTAATTTCAGACAGAAAAATTAATACAACTTCAATAAAGCAAACTAAAATACTTTTTTTTCAAACCAGACAAAACATAACTATATTGAGTACTTGTAAAATCTATTACATATATTTTCTCTCTGCTTGTGATAAAATTGGCCGCGGTAAAATACGAGCGTTTTTTGTTTTTTGAGGCAAGCAACTTGACGTCCACTAATCATGGAGAGAACAAGATAGTGTTGTTAATAGTGAAATAATAGCATTAGAATTGCTTTAATCTTATGAAGCACTCGATTAATTTGGTATTTAATTGCGGTTTTGATGAGTGGTCGAACATTACAAATCATGTAGTCAGATAATTACACATAAATCTTAAATCTTCTGTTTGCTGTCTGTGCAGGAACTTGCTGATTAAATTTATTACTTTTACTTTGAGAAAGCAACAAAGGTGAAGTTCAGATTCCGTCAAGAAGACATAAAACCAGCCTCAAGAACGAGACAATTTTAAAGAGGGAAAGAAAAACACTGACCAAATAAAAGATTTATTCACTTCAACTTGGAAACTAGAAATAGAAATTTAAAACAAGGCTTCTGTAATTGTAATATTTTGTCTATATTCGCATTTTCTCTTCTCTGAAAAAAAAAAACAACTGTTGGTTTTAAAAATAACTAACCATGTTGTAGAAGTTATAAAACGATGAGATTTAAATAGAAGTCGGACTGAAATCTTCAAAAATGAATTTGAAACAATCATTTAAAAGTTTTATAGAAAGCGGCGTAAGCTTGCTAGGATAAAATTGAATAAGTTTCTGTCTGAATTTACATGTGTCTTATTGTCTTCATTTTTGTTGTTGCTACTATCACAACGTTTCTGCCGTTGTGCGTCCGGCCTTCATCAGGTGTTTGTCGATCAAATAAAGAAAATGGTACTAAACGGTTATGAGATATAGTCTACTATGTGGTAGTGAATGCTGGCCAATCTCCTCAAAGATACTTGAAGCAGCAGAAATATGGTTCTACAGAAGGATACCGAGAATACTATGGACCGAAAATCTGAACAATGGCGAAGTTTTAAAGAAAATGGAAACAAATGAAACTTATCGTTATGAGAAAGAGCCACTTGAGATTTCTAGGGCACATAATAAGGAAAGAAAGCTTAGAAAATCAGATACTAACAAGAAGGACAAAGGGAAACAACGCATAAAGTACTTATTGATCTTCAGTAAATGGATGACGGCACAAGGTTTAGGAGAGATAACAAAAATACAAAATTTATTAGGAGCTGTAAATGGAGGGAAATGACCGTTTACATCCTGAGGGGACACGACATATAAAGAAGGAGGATGCAAATTTAAATTACTATACATATTAAAATAACAATTAAGAGAAAAACTTTGGGAATGTAACTTACATATCTAACCAACAGTGCCAGTTATCATGACTTGCTGTTTTTTAATGTTTCTGCATGAAATTTAGAAGCAGGTTGTAGAACATATTTAAAGCAACAATGATGATGAAGTCGGTGATTAAAATATTGGAAATATTTTTTTTATTTCTTTTCAGAAACAAAAAAGAAATAAACACTGAGTTTGAATACATACAAATGTATGCCCCAGATAGTGAATGTATTACGACACTGGTCTGAAGTTTGGTCCAAAACACCAAAAATTGAATGAAATTGGCCTGAACGTTGTGGGCGTCAATCCTTACAGGGGAATATTGTTTCAATCTATTGTTTTAATATATAAAAGGTCTTCTCTCATTCGATTGTAAGATTTTTTAAGGGAAAATGAGAAAATTGTTTCGCTTTTTTTAAAATATAAATATATTTAGTTATTTCCTGTAACTGAAAATGATTAGGTCTATTTGTTTATTGCCGAATGTGTACTTTTCATGGCGTTTTATTGAGAAGCTCATGAAAGTATAAATCAATAAAATAAAACCTTGATATAAGATTGAAACACGTTCGAAACGGATGAGTACTGTTGTGATTGTACAGAAATCGAAATTTTATCTTTTCCCAGATTACTTTGTATATCTTTAGTTCCAACTGGGAGACTTGAATGAGAAACTTTTTCCGATAAGACAGTAGATGGCCGACGTGCTGACATATGGTCTTCCCTTCCACCTACCTCTCTCTCTCTCTCCCATTTCGTCCAAGAAACGACCACTACTACTTATCACCTAGATATGGAGCAATGGTTAGCAATCTTGTCTCGCTAACACAATCAGGACTGAGTAGTGAGTTTGATCCTCCGCTTAGAAAATCACCACTATTACTTCCCCGCCAAAAAATGAAACGGGATAAAACAGATTTATTGATGCAGAGTTGAGCTAATTATAGAAAGGAAATCACAATCTGGAGAAAACAACTGAGGCAATTAAAGCTTTAGCTAGACTTGAAAAAAGTACGGCATAATTTGTTAAACACTTCCAAAGTTATAATTAAGTTTTTACCAAGTGAGTTTTTAAAGCATAAGTGTAAGGCGGTAAATCTAATCAAAAAGTTAAAGACTTCATAGGCAAAAAATATTTGCTGCCTTATATATTATGATACTCATTTTACGTTAACGAAAGCAAGTACAAGTATCAGTTATGAAGTGTAAGAATACAGAATTTGTCGGCAAAAACCTAACTTGTGAGTAATGCGTCAAGGTGGCTTTAAAATCGAGCATGCGCAGAATATTAGCGATATTGTTTGTATTTTAACAAAAGGTAAATAGTGATACAAATCGTAAGTTCATAGGAATAGTTGAAGTTGCTTTTCAGAAGCTAAGCAAAGTATTTTGAAAGGATTTAAAATATCGTTAAGAACCAACAGAAGATGGTACTTTTATGTAATGCCGCCATTAACTATATAGTATTGAATATTGCCTAATTTTAGTAAAATGGAATTCCCGTGACATGAAACGATCGAGATTTTTTTATGAGAGAACCACGGAAGAATATGAATGAGAAAGAAATTCTTGTTAAAAATCAGTTTTGGTTTGTTTTACTGCTTATCAACCGCAATGGCTTATTTAATGCCGATAAGATTTTTATTGTTGATATATTATTTTACGCAAGGACACGTGGCACAGTGAATAAAGGTTTTGGTTAGATCCAGTGACAGGACCCAAAGAGTGCGAGTTCAATACCCGGTTAAGGCAGTGGAGAACTTTCAGAGGATAACTGATAACTGACATCCATTAAACTTGTCACTTGGAACTAGAACAGTCTATCCCAGTGAGCGAAATAAAGGGTTAAGTTCAACATTCCAACCACCTGAAGAAGGACGGAGCGTACAACAGCCGAAACGTTGTAATAAATATGGCGACAAAGATGAGGACAATAGTCCGAATAATGTAAATAATATTATTTCTTTACTCAAAAATGTATTGCTGGTAATAATTTTTTCTTCAAAATTTTGTATTTTTTTTTACTGGTATTAAAAACCTATTTTCACA